GGAGGAGTTATTTATCCTTCTTGTTAAAAGTTTTGATCTTGCTTTAGGTCTGCTCAGGACATCATTTCTTATTTTGTTTTTTCTTTTCCTATCACTGCACACCTTCAGTTTTTCTAACTCTTGTTGACAGAACATGTAACATGCTTGCATTTCTTCCTTAAAAAGTAAAACTGGCTGAGCTTGATAGCTGATGCCTATGAAGTCCCAGCGCTCTGGGAGGCTGAGGTAGGACGATTGCAAGTTCCACCCCAGCCTGAGCAATTTAGTGACTTAGCAAAACACTGTTTCAAAAAATTAAAGGACCTGAGTATGTAAAATTCTCTGGATACCTCACTTGCTTCTTCTAATTCTTTTTTTTTTTTTTTTTTGGTTTTTCTCCGGTACCGGGAACCGAACTCACGACCTTGCGCTTGCCAGGCAGGCGCTTTTGCCGCTGAGCTAAATCCCCAGCCCCTCTAATTCTTGATAAATGGTCTACAAAGTAACCTTTACTCTTCTTGACCTGGTCTTTTCCCTGTACCCCTTTCTCACCAGTCATTCCTCAACTGTGCCCTTACTCTTCCATTGAAACTGCTTTCACTTATGACTCCTGGTTGTGTACTCAGCAGACTTCTTAGTTCATATCTTAACTGACTTCTCTTGAGTTTTTAACATTGGACATTTTTGCCTGTAAAACTTCCCTCTTGTCAACTATGTTTCTGTTTCCTGTCTATTCCTTCTTGAGTTTTCGTGTGATCTTCTCTTCCCTGCCCGTTCCTAAATGTCATCACACGCTAAGATTTGTCTTACCTCTTTTCTCATTCTCTGTAGCTTCTTTGCTGGCTTATCTACATCAGTATTGTGCAAATGTCTTATCAAATCTGTTAGCTCCATCTTAGCTTCTCTCTGCAGTTAAAGGCTCTGTTACACATCTCTCATTAGCTCTACCAAAGATACTAAACTCACCTTGCCTTCTGCCCATTTTTCCAAGCTCTGCTGTGTGCAGCAATTTTTAAGTGCAGCAGCTTTTAAGTTTACATTTCTGTTAATGGCATCACTCCATTCTCCCAGCCTTTAAAACCAGAAACTTACAAAATTATTCCAAGCCCTTCCTTTTCCTTTAGCTTCCACACCAATTATGGCTATACACCCCTTTGATTCTTTTTCTTAGATACCTAAATAAATGATGCTGTTCTTCTCTTTGCTCAGAGGCAGTTCCTTAGTTCAGGTCTCTGCCATTTTTAGTTTATTTCCAAAATAACCTCCTAACCACTTTATGTGCTAACAATTTTTCTATTGTTTTGCATCCTTTCTTTCTGATACATTGATTTTTTTTTTGTGGGCAGAATAAGGTTTGGTTTTGTTTGTCTGTTTTTGAGGCAGGATTTCATAGTTCAGGCTGGCCTTGAACTCACTATGGAGCCCAGCCTGGCCTCAAACTCAGTGATCCTCCTGTCTCAGCTTCATGAATGGTAGGATTACAGGTGTGTGCCACCATACCCAGCAGAGATAAGATTTATTGATGAATTTGTTTTGAAGGAGGGGACGGCACAGTGGAAGCCTTCAAGAATACAAGGCCCACCACGTATCCAAGGGAGAACAATTTGGAATGTATTTCACCTATAGCCATCAGGGATGAAGTGCTTCTTAGCCACTATGTCTTCAAATTCCTCTGTATTGAGCTTTGTGAAGCCCTACTTCTTCAAGACATAGATCTTCTGACGGCCAGGGAACTTGGCCTTGGTCACTTGTTCATTGTTCTGCAGCTTGGTGTGGATGGACATGATGACTTGTCCAATATGAAACCCTCGCTGCTGTGCCCTGGGGCTTCCCAAAGGCACCCTACATGCCTGTCTGGAGCCCAGATTGGGAACAACGCGAGGTCAGAAACGAACATCCACCAGGAGGCAGTGTCTCCAAGGTCCCTTAGGGCAGCCCACACAAGCAGCAGGCTGCGTATACTATTGAGGATGTTGCTGTTTGCAGCCATTGTACACTGGGCACTCAGCGTCTAATACACTGATTTGAAACATCTTTTTTGTTGTTTTTTTGAGACAGGGTTTAGGCTATGCAGTTTAGGCTGACCTTGAGCTCACTATGTAGCCCAGGCTGGCCTCTAACTCATGGTGATCCTCCTGCTTCAGCTTCCCGAGTGCTGGGATTATAGGTGTGCGCCACCATGTCCGACTTGAAACATCTTTTTTGCTTAAGATTAGTGATTCTTTTTGCTGGCAGTATTGTATATATTTTTGTATGGAATATTTTTAGCCTACTAAGTTGTGTTCTTGACCCTGCCTGTCTTTCTGAACATGTCCTGCAAGTTTTCCAGATTTCTGTAGCTGCATAAAACTGTTTTCTGTGCTCTGCATTAGTACTTGCAGTTTCTTTCTTCTGAAGAGTCTTTCTCTAATGCTGCTGCTTTGATCATTGCCTTTTCAGATTTCAAAACTTAATAGCAGTACCTATCTAAGAAAACTTCTCACTTTACCTCTGCTCAATCCTGTTTCAGGTACCTCTCTCCTGGACCACTGGAATGGACTTTGTGTATGCAGTACTTGTGTTAGAAGGCATCATACACTTTTGGTTTTTGCTGTGTTGGAGATTAAACCCAGGGCCACATGTATGCCAGGCATGTTATCTACCACAGAGCTATCATCTTGGGTTTTTTTTGTTTGTTTATTTGTTGTTGTTTTTGTTTTTTGAGGTGATAGGAATTGAACCTAGGGCCTTGTGCATGTTAGGCAAGCACTGTTTCACTGAGCTACCTCTCTAATTATGTTTTTTAGGTAGGAAAACTGCATTGTCAACTCCTTGAGAATAGGGATTGTATCTTTAGTATACAGATGTCCAGTGCTTAAATACACTTGCTTCCTCAGCACACTTTGAGTATGCCACTGAAAATTTCCTGCTAGGAGATTGTTTATGTGTTTCTTAAAATCTACCTGAATTTATATTCTCTTTCTGCGGGGCTAGGGATTGAACCCAAGGCCTTTGCTGTGAGCTGTGTTCCCAGCACAATAGTTTTAAATTTTCGTTTTGCTCTGTGAGTTTTCAACCTTCCTATAAAACTTAGGTGAACTGTGTCACTAAAAAAGGTGTTTTGGAGTCAGGCATGGAGGCACACACCTGTAGTCCCAGCACTCTGGGAGGCTGAGGCAGGAGAATTGCCATGAGTTCGAGGGCCACCTAGGCTACACCGTGCTTTAAAGGGCAGTCTGAACTACATTGTGAGACCCCATCTCCAGGAACTAAAAAAGGTGTTTTGAAGCTGGGCGTGGTGGTGTGTGTCTTACATCCCAGCACTCTACGAGGCTGAGGCAGGAGAATCACAAATTGGAGCCCAGCCTGGGCAACTCAGCAATTTAAGTTGGTGCACACCTGTAGTCCTAGCACTGTGGCAGCTGGCCATGTGTTCAAACCAGCCTAGGGATGTAGTAAGCTGAAGACCAATGTAGAATACAAGATCCTGTCACTAAAAAAGGCTGGGTGGGGCGGGAACTGTGGATCTAAGTCAGCGTGAAGGCCTTGAGTTTAGTCCTCAGTACTCAGTCAAAACGTATTTTGAGGGGAGAAAAAGAGGTAAGAGAGCCGGGCATCGTGGTGCACGCCTGTAATCCCAGCACTCGGGAGGCTGAGGCAGGAGGATCGTTGCGAGTTCGAGACCAGCCGGGCTACAAAGTGAGCTCAAGGCCAGTCTGAACTGCATAGCGAGACCCTGTGTCAAAAAGACTTAAAAAAAAAAAAAAAAAAAAAAAGACGTAGGAGAAAATGAGGAAAAATGTTTTTGGAACCAAGATTGGAAAGATATACTTTGTAAACTGATTTTATGATACTCAAGAAATTTCTTTGTAATCTTTACATATAGCCTGACTAAGTAACAAGTTAATTGGATTATGATTTTATGGTTTCTTTTAGGATAGTGTTCTGGTGGGTAGTTGTTTAGTGAATGCATGGTTCATAAATACCCTTCAGGGGATATACATAAGTAATATATACAAATATCTAACCTTTTTTGAGTCCTACTGTGTTCCTCAGGCTGATCTGGACCTCCTAGACTCAAGTGATCCTCCCGCTCACCCTGCCTAGTAGCTGAGACTACAGGCATTTGCCACTATACCTGGCCATAATCTTGTCTGTTGAGTTTTGATTGTTCCAGATGTCATTATGAGAGGTTAACTTTTAGTTTTTGGACAGCTTTACTGATAATGTCTGTGGGGGGGGGGGAATCTTGCTCATGTAGGTCAGGCTGGCCTTGAAATTACTGTGTAGTTCAGAGATTACTTGTGATCCTGCCTCAGCCTCCCAAGTGCTGAGATTACAGCTGTCTGCTACCACATTCAGCTACATTTCAGTTTTTATCATAGCAAGCATATTATGAGTTGCTTTTTGAGTTTTTCTTGGTTGTTTTTTTTTCCCTAGTGGCTATAAATTCTTTAAGGATAAAATGAAGAGATTAAGTCTTAATGTGTAATTGCCTAATATAATGCCTAGCCTGATTAGATTCCCTAAATTGTTTTTGTTCAGTATTTTGCAACTTAATATTATTAAACAGTCACCTTTTTGAACAGGATAATATTAATACTACATTCCTGTTTAGTTTGAGATCCCGATAAAATTAATAATAATTTCTTCATATTTTAGGAAATAGCATTTGGTTGAAGTTTTCTCTGTATGTTTTGGTGCTGGTGATAGAACACAGGCCCTTGACACTGAGCTATATCCCCAGCTACTTTTATCTTTCATTTTGAAACAGGACCTTGTTAAGTCACGTAGTTGCCCAAGCTGGACTCAAACTTGCAGTCCTCTTGCCTCAGCCTCCCACAGTGCTAGAATTATAGGTGTGTCCCACCACATCTGGTTTGGTTGAGGTTTTCATAACTATCTGAAGTGCAATGTCATAGTTTTAACTGAAAGAGAAGTTTAAAATAAAATTATGGGTCAGAGTGAAAGAGAAAGTAAATGGGGCTGCTTACAAAGTTAAATAAAAATTTTTAAAAGTTCACACATCTTGTTCTTTACAGGTCAGTCATTGGCACCATGAACTGGAATAAAGGTGGCCCTGGCACTAAACGGGGATTTGGCTTTGGAGGTTTTGCCATCAGTGCTGGGAAGAAGGAAGAACCCAAACTCCCACAACAATCCCACAGTGCCTTTGGGGCAACCAGTTCTTCTTCTGGATTTGGAAAATCAGCTCCACCACAGCTTCCTTCTTTCTACAAAATTGGATCTAAAAGAGCCAACTTTGATGAAGAAAATGCGTAAGTTGGCCTAGGAGTGTGGTTCAGTGGTAGAATGCCTGCCTAACAAGCAGGAGGCCGTGGCTTTGATTCAACCCTGCTACCCCAAAAAAAGAGAAAAAGAATCTGGGCATGGTAGCACACACCTGTAATTTCAGCACTCTAGAAGGCTGAGACAGAAGGATCACAAGTTTGAGCCCAGGCTGGGTAACTTATTGACTTAACAAGACGCTGTCTCAAATGAAAAATAAAAAAGGATAAGCATGTAGCTCAGTACAAAGGCCCTGTGTTCAATCCCCAATACCACACCAAAAAAAAAAAGCATAAATGATAATTTCTGATGATTTGGCAAAGGATGCCCTTTGAGATTCTCATTCCATCAGCAAAAATTGAGGCAAAAAAAACACTCTGGTTCCCATAATGTGACTTCCTGAATTGATTACCTTACTGAGTGGGATTGTTTATAGTAAGTTAAAACTGTCAATTTTACTTCATTTGTTTGTGGGTTTTTTGTTGTTGTTTCCAAGACAGGGTCTCAAACATACAGTCCAGGATGGCCTCAAACTTGTTATGATCCTTCTGCCTCAACCTCCCAAGTGTTGGAATTACAGGCATGCGCCAACACACCACACCTGGCAATTTTACTTGTTTATAAGGAATATAATACTTGCGTGCTTATACCTTTTTTTGTTCCATGAATCATAGTTTCTTCCTCGCTTGTGTTCCAGTGGGCAATTACGTGGTTGTAAGATTTAAGGTCATTTAAATTTAAATGTAGCTGAAAAGTTTTAATTAATTGATGTGGTTTTTACTGATGTGATCTTTACTGTAATTTTTTATTGACACTATATAAATCATTTGTGAACACAGGCAGTTGGAACTGGGAGAAACACCTTCTGCCTTAACATCTGAGTCTTCACAATTACTAGATTGTAATGTCTTACAGTAGTAGAAAAATCTATTTATATTTTCCCCACAATCCTGAGGAAACACTGATTATAATTTTTACCTTGCATGTCCAGTAGGAGGTTAGAAAAGCTGAGATTTGAAGGTATTTTTTGTTTGTTTGGGGTTTTTTTGTTTTTTTTCCAGTACTGGGAATCAAACTCATGACCTTGTGCTTGCCAGACAGGCGCTGTGCCGCTGAGCTCAATTACCAGCCCCTGAGATTTGAAGGTTGGACCTTCAATTTCTATAGATAATTTCATTCTATACTGAATCTAAAGAAATCTTTTTTTTCATGGGGCTGGGGATTTAGCTCAGCGGCAAAGTGCCTGCCTGGCAAGCGCAAGGTCGTGAGTTCGGTTCCCGGTACCGGAGAAAAACCAAAAAAAAAAACAAAAACAAAAAAAAAATAAAACACTCTGATATTTTAAAAAAAAAAGAAATCTTTTTTTTCTTCTTTTTGTGGTGCTGAGGATCAACCCAAGAGCTCATGCACATTAAGCAAGTGTTCTACCACTGAGCTACCTCACCAACTGTATTTTATTGCTGTTATTTCCAACCTGGTCATGGCACTACTTGAGACTTTGTTTCATTTTGTTTTATAAATTAAAAACTTTCTCAAGATTGGAATTTAAAATCTGTTTAGGGGGCTGGGGATTTAGCTCAGCGGCACAGCGCCGGCCTGGCAAGCGCAAGGTCATGAGTTCGATTCCCGGTACCGGAAAAAAAAACCCATAAAACAAAAAAATAAAATAAAATAAAATAAAATCTTTAGCCAGGTATAGTGGTGCACGCCTGTAATCCCAGCACTCGGGAAGTTGAACCAAGGGTATCACTGAGTTTAAGGCCAGCCTGATCTACATAGCAAGATCCTGTCTCGAAAAGAAAAATAAATAAAAATACATAAAATCTTTTAAAAGTACACAGCAGCCTTTTAGGAAGTTTGGTATGTTATTTGGGAATCAAAATACAGAAGTAGTGTTGGAAGGTCAGCATAGTCAATCATTGTTACTCTAGAGAGCAGTTAATCAGTTTAGGGTAATGTTTTATTAGTTAAATAAATCCTACTATATAAATGAGTATGCAATACAATAAAAAATAAATAAAAGCAATACACATATAGGGTACTTAACCATGAATGGCACTTGCAGGACTAGAATTTGTTCTGGGTGGATCAGTGAGTATGAAGGCCTAGGACATTGCTGTAAAGTGTTGTAGGCCTTATAAACATGGCACACTTAGGTCACTCTTAAGTTTATAAGGAATGGATATCTTTTCTTTGAATAGTAAATTAACCTTAGCTTTTTGTAACTTTTTAAACTTTTTTATAGTAATGCTTAGCTTGAAACACAAATGCATCATACTTGCCCCAAAAACATTTTTTTCTTTATATCCTCATTCTAAAAACTTTTGGTACTTTAAACTTTTACTTACATTTTTTACGTTTTTTTGTGCCAGGAGTCAAACTCAGGACCTTGTACTTGCTAGGCAGGCACTGTGCCACTGAGCTATATCCCTGGCCCATTTTTTAATTTTTTAAACTTACTAAAAACAAAAACTAAGATATAACCACACACATTCTCCAGGTCTATACAGGGTCAAGATCATCAATATCACTGATTTCTGCCTCTACATTTTGTCCCAGTAGAAGGTTTTAAAAGGCAAGGATGGGGCCTGGAATGTAGCTCAGTAGCACAGCGCCTTGCTTGGCAAGTGCAAGGACCTGAGTTCGAGTCCCAGTACCAAAAAAGTACAAGGCAAGGATGGTGCATGTGCTGTCACCTAGAATAATAAATAGTACCTCCTTCGGGAATATCTCCTGAAGGACCTGCCTGATGCCATTTTACTCTTAACTTTATGTTGTTATTGTTGTTTTGTTTTGTTTTGTTCTGTTCTGTTTCGTTTTGTTTTGTTTTGTTTTCAAAAGGTCCCACTATCTAGTTCAGGCTGGCCTTGAACTCATAATGATCCTCCTGCTTCAGCTACTACCCAAGTGCTAGGACTACAGACATATAACAGTATGCCTGTTTACTATTAATTTTTTAAAAAATAATTAAAGAGTATATTCTAACATAATGAAAAACAGTATAATACATTAAATACTTATACCACTAGCATCATTATCAAGTTTTATGTACTGTACGTAATTGTATGTGTAATATAGTTATACTACTAGCAACATAGTAGGTTTACACCAGCACCACCCCAATACAATGTTGTACCACAGTGTGACAAGGCTGTAGGAAATTTTCAGCTCCATTATAATCTTAATAGAACTACCGTTATATGTGTAGTCTCTCATTGACCCAAACGTTATAAGATGCATGACTGATATTAATTAGTATATATACAATTGTTACACTAATGTGTGTAGAGCATAACAGTTTTTAGAGTAATTCCTGTGATGACTTGAAACACTTTAAATCTTTAAGCTGCAGGTATTTGAACTAGTATTTGATTATGTTATTAATACTTGGGGCTTGTTTGTTTTTTTTGAGACAGGGTCTCACAATGTAGTTCAGGACCTGAATTCACTACAAGCCTCAAACTTGTGTCGATCTTTCTGCCTCAGCCTCCCAAGTGCTAGAATTACAGGAGTGCATCACCACACCCAGCTTTCTTAATTTTGATGTAGGGGCTAAACAATATTTTATTTTTATTTATTGCGAGCTGTATTAAATGGCAGGTATGAGGGTGCACACTTATAGTCCCAGAACTGAGGTGGCTGAGGCAGGGGGATTACCCACACCCCTCCCCTGCCCAAAAAAACTGCATTGGAGTCCTTTCTTTGAATGTTTGTTGTAGGAAGAGTGATGCCTTATCCAGGCTTTGAAGTTATTCTTTTTTGGTGTTTTTGAGACAGGATCCCGCTATGCAGTTTAGGCTGGCCTTGAACTCCCTATGTAGCCTAGAGTGGTGTTGAACTCAAGGCGATCCTCCTGCCCCTGTCTCTCAAGTGCTAGGATTGCAGGCTTGGGTCACCATGATAGGCCTTGAAGTTATTCTTTCAGAACAGTTAACTAATGTGAAAAATTACGGACTGAGCATTTTTTTTTAATCAGATTTTATTGGTACATTTTAGATGTACATAATGATCACATTCATCATAGAGAATTTGTGCTTGTACATGATATACCTTGTTATTTTTAATTCTAGAAGTTTTTGATTGGTCTCAGAAAATGGCCCAGAACTTCTGAAGAAAGACCTTAGTCATATGAAAATATTTCTCCTTCTTCAAGGATTGTAAAGAATAAGTTTCGTTTTGCTTTTGTTTTGAGACAAGGTATTGCTATGTAGTCCAGGCTGGCCTTGAACTCACTATACAGCCAAGCGTGGCCTTGAACTCATGGGAGTCCACCTGCCTTAGCCTCCCAAGCGGTGGTTACAGTTGTGTGTCACCACACCTGGCTAAGAATAAGTTCTTAAAATTTCATACAAGTTTTTTTTTTTCCTGTGGCACGTGCTCTTTAATATTTGTTATACTTGTTCCAAAACTGATGTGCTAAATTGTACTGAAAACATAACCCTTTTAACAGAACTGAGAATGTGATTTGAGTACACCGTTGAAATGGAAACTGCGATGACTACTTTCATGGGATATTAGAATTTTTGCATGTATTGAGTGATACTAATTAGGTCCATAGCCAAAACCTTGGAGTTCTTTAATTTGACTTGTATAGGAGAAATCTCTTAATAGTAAGGTAATAGCATATAAAAGTTTCTGTTAAGTGAAGGACTCACTGACCCTAGACTGAATATTCACTTTACCCATCTGCATTTTAATTTCAGGTATTTTGAAGATGAGGAAGAAGACTCTAGTAATGTTGATTTGCCTTACATTCCTGCTGAAAACTCACCTACACGTCAGCAATTCCATTCCAAGCCAGCAGATTCTGACAGTGATGATGATCCCTTGGAGGCATTTATGGCTGAAGTAGAGGCAAGTATTAGCAGTTTGTTTCACTAAAGTATTTAGCAATTAGAAATAATTAATAAACCTTGCTCAAATTTGTCTGCTGGTGTTTTGTTTTGTTCTTTACATCCTCTTCCTCTGTAGCATTTTCAGAAATGATCAGTGGCTATAACCCTTGAACACAGTAGCTCAAGAATTTTTTTTTGAGGTACTACGGATTGAACTCAGGGAACACCAAACTGCATCTTCAGTTCTTCTAGTTTTTAATTTGAGATAAGGTATTAACTAAATTGCCCAGGCTGACCTTGAACTTCCAGTCCTCCTACTTCAGCCTTCTGAATAGCTGGGATTGCAAGTATGAGCCACCGTGCCTGGCATAGGTCAAGACTTGTGTGTTTTGCTTTGTTTGAATAATCTTAGTATATTCTGTAGAATAAACATGATCTTCAGTGTAGCACTTAATATGTACTTTTTTTTTTTTTTGAGGCAAAATCTCACTTGGTAGTTTAGGGTCGCCTTGAACCTGCTGTGTAGCTCAGACTAGCCTTGAATTTGCAGTGATTCTACCTACGCCTCCCAAACACTGATCACAGCCATGTGCCACTACGCCTTTTGTTTTTAGACCTGTTTCAAGTACTTATTTGTGTAAGGCAGTTAAACTTAAGGATTTACTAGATTTCAGATTCTTTATTTCTTACCATCAATGTTGAAACCTTTGACCCCCCCCCCCTTTTTTAACTTTTTATTCTGGAAATTTTTAAACATATACAAAAGCTGAATAATTAAACGAACCCCTGTGTACCCTTTCCCCAGATTTATCACTTAACACACCCCCTCCTGTTTTTTTTTTGTTTTGTTTTTTTTTTTGTTTTGTTTTGTTTTTTTTCTTTTTGAGACAGGGTCTCTCTATGCAGCTCAGGCTGGCCTTGAGCTCACTTTGTAGCGCAGGCTGGTCTCGAACTCTCAACGATCCTCCTACTTCACCCTCCCAGGTGCTAGGATTACAGGTGTGCACCACCATGCCCGGCTTCACTTAACCACTTTTAATCAGTTTTGTATCGTCCGACTTCTCCCCCTTCAAATTTTTTTTATTATTTTAAAGTGAATCTCAGACATACGGTTTTGTCTGTAAATGTTTCTGTATCTCTGTAAGAGAACTCTTCTGATTTTTTGAGACAAGGTCTTGCTGTATAGTCCAGGCTGAGCCTTGAACTCCCTATGTAGCCCAGGCTCGAACTCACAGGCATCCTCCTGCCTCAGCCTCCTGAATGCTGGAATTATAAGTGTGTAGCACCACCCCCAGCTATGTAAGAGAACTCTTGAGCTGGGTATAATATTGAACACTTGTAGTCCTAGCACTTGGAAGGCTGAAGCAGGAGGATGGCCATAAGTTTGAGGCTAGCCTAAGTGAATTCAAGACCAGTTGAATTACAAAGGGAGACCCTGCCAAAAGATAGATAGATAGATAGATAGATAGATAGATAGATAGATAGATAGATATAGATAGATAGATGATAGGTAGATATTGATAAATAGGTAAATAGATAGATGGTAAGGCAGCACTTTTAAAACATAACCGCTATATTGTTACACCAGCATAGAACTATTAAATGTGCTACTGACTGATCTTTCATTCTTATGATCCTTTTCCTGTTCTTCAAATAAAATATTCCTTTTCAGGTATCTATATTGACTTGCTATTTTGTTCTTTATAGCTTTCATAGTTACCTCGTCTATTTGTAAGTTAGCTTTTGTGTGTATAATTCATGTCTTTAGTCCCATGCTTTACTCTTTATGGTTTTAGCCCTGCTTTTCCAGAAGCATATGGACCATTTTTATATGGATGTGTGTCACTGGCACTTTAAATCCAGTTCATCATCTTTTCCTCCTCAACTAGGTCATTCTCTTGTCATCTGTTGACATTAATATTCATATAATGACTGTGGCTTATAACCTTGTCTTTAATGTCTTTCATTTGCCTCCACCTTACTTTTTACCAGGTTATCAAGCATATTCATTACCTACTTCATTTAACTCTCAAAATAACCATGGAACATCTGGAGAAAATAATATATACCTTTTGGTACTGGGACTAGAACTCAGGACCTCACACTTGCCAGGCAGGCACTGTACCACTGAGCTATATCCCTGGCCTGGTATATAATTTGGACTGATAAGAAAACTGAGCCCTAAGATAATCCACTTTTTGTGTGTGATGCTAGGATTGAACCCCAGGCCTAACCTATGGAAAGCTGAACCCAAAGACAATTCAAATTAATTCAGATCACCTGCCCCATATCATATTGGCAATATGTGGCCCAGCTCTTTCTGGTACATAGTGCTGCCTTTTCACTTGTGATTTGCTAAGTCTTTACAATAGCCTTTGCATATTTTTCTTCCTTTCTCTCATCACTGTTGCTATCCCGACACCTTCATTAACTCTTGGCTGGTCTAAATTGTCTCCCTTCTTTAAACAGTGTTCTACTTAGGTAGTATGTTACTGAGATCAAATTATCTTTCTCACTGTGTTAATTCTCTTACTTAAAAATCATCACTTTCTTGCTTTTGAAGGAACATTCTTGTATGTGCCTTACTTGTCTTCAACCAGAATTCTTTCTCCTCAAAGGAAAAAGGGAAAGAATCCAAATTAAGTGTGTTTTTGTGTGGTTAAAAATATGAGCCAGCGTTTTAAAATGAGAGAATTTTATCTGAAAGTTCAGGCTCTGAAAAACTGGAAGATCTGGCAGTACTCAGGCTGAAATCTTGCACAGCAAAAGTAAGCTGTTACTGAACAAGAGGATGCTTGCATTAAAAAATACACACATTTTTCTGGTTTACATCAACCCTTGTTTTCTTGACATACAGGCCACTGTTAGGCTCACTGATTGTCATATTTGCTTTGTAATTTGTCTTTCAGGGGAGAAAGATTTTTCTGAAGTCTGTGTCAATATCAGAAAATAAAATATCCAGAGTAATACAGTAAAAATGAGGTCATATTTCCTTAGAAGATTATGCCCACTTACTGAAGTAGAAGCAGAAATGGGCCAGGGATATAGCTCAGCGGCACAAACGCCTGCCTGGCAAGCACAAGGTCCTGAGTTTGATTCCTGGTACCCCTCCGCAAAAAAGCATAAGTATGTCTGTGTGGCTAGGAGTATAGCTCAGCAGTAGAGCACTTCCAAGCATATACAAGACCCTGAGTTCAATCCCCCACCACTGGGGAGGAAAAAAAAATTTGTATCAAAAGAATACAGCTTCTCTTATTCTGGCTTTATTCATCTATTACCAGCTTGGCACCCCTAAGTATCTGAGTGTCTTGCTTTCGATTTAATTCAACCCAAATTACTTGCTGAGAGAGCATATACTTTATAGGTAGCAGAAGGAGAATTTACTGCCAACTCCCCATATTCTTTATGCTGTATTCTATATTGTAAGTTGTTTTAGCACTGTGTGTTTCTGCCTCTTACCAAATTATTCAAGACATCAAAATTATTTAGGACATACATGTGTCTTGCAGCATAGCAGGCAGTTAATAAATAGGTTGAATGATTCACTCTAAAAGTAAAGGCAGTAAATGATTTACTATGTTTGAGGTGTGTTGTACATGCTGTGATGTCTTCATCTTTAGTATGGACATTTCCCAAAGGGCTTTGTTTCACAGAAAATTTCATTATTTCTTGATATCTGTAGTGATGAATTTAAAAGAAAAAAAATCAGTTCTTGATTTTCTAGGTTTAAATTTAGATTTAACTTATTGCTGACAGTTTTTCAGTGAAAGTATCCAAGAGTAGTCCTGATTCTCTCATCTGGCTCTTAAGTAGTTGAAGTTGTATGGAGGGTAAATCTTTTATAATACAGTACCATTCTCCTGAGTGTGAGTATCTTTTTGCTATAGTATCAAAAGGATATTTTTTTAAGTTGGATATTAGATGCTAAGCTTGGAAAATATGTCAATGACTGAGAATTTGCATTTATTCCTGATCTCAGATTTTAAACATCAAAGATAGAAAAAACCTTGGGCAAATTGTATAATTTTTCTGATAACTGATTTTCAGCTATATAAAACAAGGGATCAATTTAGATCAATTGACCGTGCATAAGAATTAACTTTGGAAAACATAAGAACTATATATATTTAACTCCACTCTGTACAGTTCTGATTTAGTGGAACTAGAGCAGAGTTTTCAGCCTCAGGATCATAGTAAAGCCTTGGTGAGCATAATTTGTTCCAGAAACATGCGTATAATCCAAAGTACTTGTATATCAAAGGAAGTTTCTCTGTAAGAAATAAAGGAAAACTCAGATGATTCATTCCGTAGCCCAAAAATATTCATATAAAATGATTACAGTAATATAATTACTGTAATATAATACAAAATAATAAAGAAATATAAACAAATTAACCAGTAATTACCTTTGAAAACCTTCCTGGCTGGTATGAGGGAGATGAGAAAAAAAGGTTATTGTGTAGGATTCCTTTTCCTGTCACTAAAGGAATCACTGCTAGCTATTTGCTCAGCAGAATCTTTTTCTTTTCATGCAACTTTAACAAGGAAGCTTTCCAGTGACACTCGCTTTTGCCTCCTTTGGAGGGTTTTGTGGGAATGTGGCATTCTGTTACCATTAAACAGATTGATAACTTGAACTGCGACAGCTTTATTTGTACTATTTCCCACATTTCCCACATCTCCCTAGCCTCATTTGAAGTGAGGGATTCCTCCACCTTTTTCTCCTCCTCTGCAAAGGAGTTCTCCTCCATAGCCTCTTTTCTGTTGCAAGGTGATCACCTGTGATCCTGTAGAGAAGAGACAGAAGGACCATTGGCTCAGTTGTGATCGTGCGACATTCGGCATCACATATCACTCATACTGCAAGACATCGCATATTTATCAAATTAAAGTTTATTAGAAATGTTTGCTCCTCTTGCAAAACACTCAGAACAAGTTAATTACAGTCCAAGATTTTGCTGGGTTTGGTGGCACACGCCTATAATCCCAGCACTCGGGAGGCAGAGGCAGGAGGATCATTGCGAGTTTGAGACCAGCCTGGGCTACAAAGTGAGCTCAAGACCAGCCTGAACTGCATAGCAAGACCCTGTCTCAAAAAAAAAAAAAAAAAAGTTTTTACTGTATTAGTATTTGGGATTTAATAAGTCTTTTGTGGGAATGGTCATGTGCATTCGAGAATGTTGAGTTAGCACTCCTCGCCTCTGCCCACCAAAGGTTTCCCTGTCATCACCCCTCAAGTTGTGATAAGCAAAAATATCTCCAGACTTTGCCATATGTCTGTGTGCAGCATTCCCATGTTGAAAATTACCTTTTTAGAGTTAGATCCCAAAATCTGTATTTTTTTTACCAGGCCCACTGGTAATTTAATATAAATGGTTTTAAACAGTACTAGGAGAGAGGCTGTTTTGCCTGAATTTAAGTTCCTTTACAGCCATAATGATTAACTTTTCTATAAAGTGACAGATTGTTATATATTTGTGAATTAAGCATTTTTGTTAATTGTTGCCTAGATAAGTATATGGGTCGCAGATGTAAATCATTCAAACGATGTGTAGCCAAATTTCAGCACATTTGAATAGTTTCTCTTTGAAAACTAGTTATCAAAATGCAGTTTGATTATTATGGTTCTGTGATTAGGTTAATAACTGAATTGGTCACTAAATGAGGAATGGTATATAGTATGTACGTTACAATATTGAGAACAAAGAAATGGTCAAAGGAAAGTCCATTGTGATGGCTTCTTTTATTTGCATAACTCTTACATGAGGTATTGTAACGTACAACAGAACATAAAACTAGGGCCAGGCGTGGCGGGGCATGCCTGTAATCCCAGCACTTGGGAGTGTAAGGCAAGAGGATTACTGCACATTTGAGGCCAGCTGAGCTACAAAGTGAGTTCGAGGCCAGCCTGAACTGCATAGTGAAACCCTGTCTCAAAATGGCCAAAACAAAACAAAACACTTACCTAGCTTGGGCACAGTGGCACATCCCTGTAATTCTAGCTACTCAAGAGGCTGAGACAGGAGAATCCCAAATTCATACCCAGACTTGGCAATTTATCAAGACCGTTCCTACTCAAAATAAAAGGGCTGGGGATGTAACTCAGTGATAGAGTGCTTGTCTAGCATGTGCAAGCATCTAGCTGGTTTTTTGGTTTTTTTCTAGTACTGCAAAACAACAACAAAATCCATGAGGACATTTACCAATCCTAAAATTGTTTTTAAAGAAATTTCTCTTTAAGTGCTTTTAGTTAATGTAATTTCATACAGTCTTTTCTTTCATTAGGATCAGGCAGCTAGAGACATGAAGAGGCTTGAAGAAAAGGACAAGGAAAGAAAAAACGTAAAGTAAGTTGTTTTCTTCTCTCTTCACAAAAGTTACATGAGAAATATTTAAAATATTGAAAAGCCTATTCCCCCAAACTTTACAGAGAAAAAAATTAAGTGTACAAATACCTCTGTTTTATGATGTCTTTGTATCTTGAATAGTTCTGTAGATACAGAGATCACAAAAGTCTTTGTGTTTGCAGTAATTAAAAGCCATTCTGTCTGACAGAATAGCATTTGATCTTCAACTATAAATAACTGTTTAGTAAACATAAATTATTACCCTAGGAGTTAGAAAAGCATAATTACTAAAGTTTGGGTTCATTGTACTGACTTTTGTCCAACTATTAATATAAAATAGATCATGTTTGTATGACTGATAGGAAGTAATGGTGCTATCATGAAACTATGTATATTACTAGAAATAAAACCCAATTTCTTTTAAAGAATGATACCATGTTTTAGCAAGCATAATCAAAACTTGAGTACTTTATTTTCTGGGAAAGAGAAGTCACCTCTTTCCCTTGCTGAATATATTTGTAAGGTTTTTTTCTACCAATCAAGGTTGGACTTTTCTTTCCCTTTACTTTGCAGTTAGAGCTTTAAGCCCTTCCCAAAGTTCTTGTGCCATGCAGAGCCCTCTTTTGGTGCTTATATATGTCGTATCCTCTTCCAGTTACCTTACACTGGCGGTGTTGGTTGCTGTTGCCTTAGGAACAGCAAGTTCTCTACATTAAGTGGCAGGTTTGATTAAAACTAGGTGGTTGTGGGCACTAAGCAACTTAGTTCTTTCTGTAACTCCTGAGAGTTACACTTTCTATAACTCCTGAGAAGCAGCAAGTGGCAGTGATTTCCTTCTCCATGTATATTGCTTAGGAGTTTTAGTTCTATACTTGTCAAGAGGCTTATGTAATTTTTCTCTGTCTCTATCCCCAAGGTAACTGATTTTGGCTTAAAGCAATTATTGTAGAGCTAGAAACTTGAGGGCACAATAAGAAACTTGTGACATTCTCTAGCATATGCTAAATACAGGATTTTTTTCTTTATAATATGAAATAGTTTGCATAACCACATTTTGTTTGTTGTATGGGTTGACAAGGCATAGAATTCTTTGGTATCTTCAGAAAGTTTTTACTCTTCATATCCATGTTAGTAATTGATGTTCCCTATCATCTCATTCAAAAGAAATGCAAAGTGTAGACCATGGAGTGAAACCACATATCAGTGATGGGTGGATAGTTTACAGTGTGCTTATTGCTGCTTTGCTGTTGTTAGTGTTGAGAGTTCCTATGTTGCACGGAATTCAACACTAATCTGTTGTAAGTATGGAGCTGGGTATGTGGAACATTTGCAGGGAAGTTTGTTTCTCCGCTTGTTTTTCCAGGGGTATTCGAGATGACATTGAAGAGGAAGATGACCAAGTGAGTTCTTACGCAGTATTTCTTTCATTTTTACCCCACAGCGTCTATACTGGGGACAAGCTAGAGCTTGCCTTCACTGAAATGGCCATTCCTGACAGTTAGCTGGGAATGTCATTTGATTTGTTCTTTTCTACCTGTGTTACCAGTTGGTACTATAATACTAAGATTCACATGGCTTTCCCCCATGTTGAAGATGGAATGTTTGACCAACTGACATCAAAAAGACAAGATTTATTCATCTTGCTTTTTTTAAATCCAAAGTTAACATTTATTCTGATGAATCAGGAGTAGTGTGGGATTTACTGATGGCCTCTAGCACCATTTAGCCTGTACCTCTTTCTAAAGGTTCTGTTTGTGATTCTTGTTTCTGAAGATCAAACATTAATGACTGTTTGTTAGTATTTCTTTTTTTCATTGTTCAGTTGTGGGATGGTGAGAGAATGGTATCCTTTCCAGGTTTGTGACCTTTCTAATCAATGTCAGCTTCCAAACTTGGATTGGTAAAGCTACAGCATAGGTTTTCCAGCTTTGGGCAGGGTAGGTAGAGTCCCCCATCCCACCCCCAAGGAAGACTGTGGAATAGGCAGATTTATAAATCCTTTCTTAAATTAAATCACTTCGTAGTACTCATTTCTTTGGATTGTCCTTCTGAATACTGATATTTTATAAAGGAATTGTTGCTAGTAAAAGTCTAGCCTTACTTGGTAGGTTTTTAAACTGTACAGTCTCCTGATACACTGACTATAAGAATAGAAATGTTCTCAGCCGTACTTGGGTGTGATTATGTTCTTGTGCTTTCCTGCAGGAAGCTTATTTTCGATACATGGCAGAAAACCCAACTGCTGGTGTGGTTCAGGAGGAGGAAGAAGACAACCTGGAATATGATAGTGATGGAAATCCAATTGCACCCTCCAAAAAAATCATTGATCCTCTTCCTCCCATTGATCATTCAGAGGTATGATACTTCCTGCTAAATTTGATTCTTATTTCAAGTTGGTATGGTTTTTTTCAGCTTATATTTCGGTTTCCCAATATTTGTATATTCATGTCATAAAAATATTTGTACCTTGGGATCCTCTTATCACCTCTGCTAAGTGGTTGGGCCAGAAATTCCATGAGGCTTTCACAGTTTATGTTGTTAAAGGTGAATCACAGCTGGGTAGTGGTGCATTTCTGTAATCCCCAACAGTCTGAGAAACTGAGGCAGGAGGGTTGACCATTCAAGCCTTGCCTGGGCAACTTAGTGAGAACTAGTGTCATTTTTTTTTTTTAAAAAAAAAGAGGGCAAGGGACATAGCTCAGTGCAAAGGCCCTCCATTCCTCCATTGACTCCACAGTACTGCTTCCCCCCCACCAAAAAAAAGATGAATCTCTTGCTTGTGTTCATTCAGTTTCACAATTTTAAATTGGCCTTCCTTAAGTAATTGTACTTGTTTTCCAGAACTCATACCTTCCTTTTTGTTTTGATCATTTTGAGATGGGGGTCTCACTATACATGTTAGCCTGGCTTTGATCTCACTATGTAGCTCAGGCTGGCCTGAACTTGAAGCAATCCTCCTTCCTCAGCCTAAGTGCTAGGATTATAGACCTGTACAATCATGCCCAGCTTTACCCTCCTTTCACATGGGCCCTTGGATATGAGTATTTTTGTTTTTATTTTGTTACTGGGGATGGAATCCAGGGGTAGTCTAAAACGGAGCAACATCCCAACCCTTATTTTTTTGAGACAGGGTCTCAGTAAATTGCTCAGGTCGGGCTTGAATTTGTGATCCTCCTGCCTCAGCCTCCAAGTGCTAGATTACATATGTGTACCACCATGCCCCACTACATTTGTTTCTAATTGCTGTGTAAATGTTTACTCTTACTTCCAAATCTGTGGCAGATAGGTTCTTCAAAGAAGATGTGTGTGATTCTTCAAAGCAGAGCCAGGAATTACAGGTTGCTAAAGTCAAGAAAAGGAAGGAAGTGAAGCTATCATATACCCACTTGAAAAAAATAAGAGTTTTTCCTCAGGTTAAATATCTGTCTAGATGTTACATACTGTGGTGACTGTAGATCTAGGGCAGTGGTGGCAAACCTATGGCATGTGCGTTACTTGTTTCTCTTAAGACAAAAGATGTTAATGTACAAGTTGTTTTTTCCAAACTAAAACCTTAGTATTGTTTAACTGCAGTGTTGGCACTTTCTGATAAACAAGTGGGTTTTGGGTTACAGTTCAGCACTCTAAAAGGCTCGCCATTACTGTTCTGGAGCATTGGTTCTCAAATGCTTATCCAGAGAGTCTGTAGAGTCAAAAGAATTTTTTTCATTCTAAGGTTATTTGCCTTTTTCATTGCATAAGCATTTGCATGATAATGTAGAATCAATGGAAAGTGAAATTGTTAATGCCTTTGTATGAATCAAGGCAGTGGTACAAAACTGTTCTACTAATTGTTATATTCTCTGCCAGATGATTATAGGGGGAGGGTCCACTCAGAATTCCCATTATGAAACAATAAAAATTAATTTTCATTAAAACAAAAATAACTATCCACCACAGTGAACTTGATAGTTTCTCAGTACTCAGAGGCTGTGACTATAAAATTGATGATTGATGTTAAAAGTTTTGATTCTTTTGTTTGGTTTAGGGTTTTTTTGAGACAAGGTTTTTCTGTGCAGTTCAGGCTGGCCTTAAATTCACAGTGATCCTCTTGCCTTAGCCTCCTGAGTGCTGGGATTACAAGTGTGTGCTACCACGCCAGCCCATGTTTTTTTAATTTTTTGAGACTATTTGCTAAATTGCCCTTGTTAGACGCAAACTTGTGATATTCCTGCCTAGAATGTATGAGATATATGAACTTACGGATTATCTACATACTACAGTGAATACATATTTTCCAAATGATCTATATATGATATTACAGAATCATGCGTGAGTAAAGCTCCATCAAAGTACAGGATAGGGAAAAAAAAAAAACAGGACAGGTATTCAGGAGGCCAAGGCAAAGAAGATCACAGATTTTAACTTAGTGAAACTGTCTTAAAATAAAAAGGCCTGGGATATAGTTCATTGTGAAGATTCAGGGCTCAATTCCAAGAACTGTAAAAATAAACATTAAAAAAAACTCACCATAGATCAGTAGCTCATAAGGTAACAGTATAACAAGTTTGTGGTTTCACATTACATGATAAAAATAAACACTGGTCAAATTGTACTATAGTATCAATAAAGAATACAAATTTACAAGTACATGATAGGACTAAAAAAATATCTTCCTCCCTTTTTCAACTACATGCCTTTGGATGGGCAAATTTTCTTTATGGATTTAAATTATAACAACCTGTCACAATAGTTTGAATGTAGTAAGAGCTATTTTCTTTTAAGTCAAACTTTGAAGGGATTTGTAAACACATAATGCCACTCTTCTCACCAAAATTTTTAAGTATGTCCAAAATTTGGAAATTTTTTACCATCTACAGGATGTCAAATTTTTTTTTAAAAAAAATTTATAGACTATTATGATGTCAAAAGGAGAGTTATTTAGCCAAATTCTTATGTGATGACATGTTTGTGCTTTGTATCCCTAATACACAAAGCTGGGAAACAAACACCAGAAATGGTTGCCTGTCTTAAGAATTAAAATTGCTCAGTAATACCTATTTTCAAAAATTTTTATTGGCACTCATTTGTAATACAGAATGACTGTATTTCTCATGGGGAGTTGGTACATGTACATAGCACATCTTGATTCTTTTTTTACCCCCTTGCCCACCCTCTCCTCCTCTCTGCATCTCTTGGTCCCTATCCCTTCCGCTGTCTTCTTTTTCTTATGGCCATATATTTTTAAATTATATAAACAGACCTCTGTTTTTAAAAAGAGTAGACCTACGCTGAGAATGTAGCTCATTGATAGTGACTGCCTAGCATGTGTGAAGCCATGGGTTTAATCCCTTATACTACCACCCTCCAAAACAAGAAAGTCAAAAGATAGTAGAACTTCCTCTAAAGTCAGAACTATCTGTAAAAGAAATACTAGAAATTTTTTAAATGCCTAGAGCTATGTGAACAACTTAATTCAAAACATATTTAAATGTTAAACCATATGAATATCTTTAAAATACTTTTCTCTGAAGGCTTTGGCATTATAAAGATTCCTTCATTTGCTTCAAGATTGTTCAACTTTGAGGTACCCTTAATGTCACTTTGGGCAGCAGGTTGGTGTTTATATTGAAATTAGGAATAGGAAAAGGCATTGGCTATATTTTTGGAAATGTGTGTCAAGAATAAATGAATTATTTTGGTCTTCCTATGATGAATGACTTTATTTGTATTATATTTATAAAAGGTTATTTTGCATTAAAATCAAACTTACAGGATTGACTCTTGAATTCTAGACTAACTTTGAATAATTGGACCTGCAGATTGACTACCCACCATTTGAAAAAAATTTTTACAATGAACATGAGGAGATAACCAACCTCACTCCACAGCAGTTAATAGATCTTCGGCATAAACTCAATCTTCGGGTAAGTTAATCATTAAGCAAGTATTCTTATGTTAATGATAATTAGTCCAGGTTTAATTGGATTTCATTTTTAATGGCCCCTGAGCTGTCTTTGCTACAATAATAATTATATCCCTTGGGCTTATGTGTCTTGGTTTGATTGTCTTAGTCATCCAGATGATATTTAAGATTGGACATTCCTTTCTGTTGTGGGAAGAGATAGAGATGACTACTATTTTAAAATATACATACACTATTTCCAGCGATGGTTTAAATTATTCACCAAGAAGTTCTGGGCTGCTTATTGGCCTTATTGTTTAAGGTGCTGCTAGATGTTAGTTAATGACACTCAGATAATATGCTGATCTACTATCTGTATGGGCAACTTTCTGGCTTCAGTCTGCCTTATCAATTACATGATGTTTGAAACTCCAGTTTTTGAAGGAGTGGAGTGTATATGTGCATGCATATATGTGTGTTTGTACTTACTTGTTTTCCCAGAGATTAACTTCCCCCAAAAATCTTTTAATGAAATCCTGGTTGGAAATAACAGCATCACTGGAGAAACATTAAAAGGTTACCACTGTTGGAAACAAAATAGAGGTTATAAGTCCCATTCTTCTCCTGTGTACAATTTAACAGTGCTTGACAGTACTGGACCATCAGTAGGAGAGACTCTTAACTATTCAGCCAGTGGTAGATTGTATCTTTGCAACCAGTGGGTATTTTCTTATTTGGACTTATTTGCAAATTTTAATTTTTTTTTACCATCTGGTTAATATTTATGTAAAATTGCAAAAAAAAAAAGTGACTTTCTGTAATCCATTGAATGGTTTTTCATTCATTTATTTCTAATAAGAGAATTTTATTTTAAGAGTTTTTAGATACTTTGTCATTTAAAATTATATGACAGAATAATCTCAAGAATATTTGTCATAAAGTTTATATGAAGTCCTCATCCTATTTTGAGGTTTTGCCTTTTCAGTGGTATGCTTTTGGCTGCAGATTTGTTTTCACTTCTTCACACTCAAGCTAAAATGCTAGATCTGGGTATGTACTGTTGAACTTCAAATGCTATTTATGTTAAAGTCATTCCTGGGAGTTGTCTCTATCTCTAGGTCTCTGGTGCTGCACCTCCTAGACCAGGGAGTAGTTTTGCCCACTTTGGGTTTGATGAACAACTTATGCACCAGATTCGGAAATCTGAGTACACGCAGCCCACTCCAATACAGTGCCAGGTAAGTAAAAATAATGAAAGGAAAGTGGAGTAGAATGATACTCCATAACTATATGTAGTTGACAAACAAGTCAAAGCAGCTAAAAAAGAAAAAAGAGCCAGTATAGGAAAAAGGTGCTAGTTTTCAGCTTTTCATGCAGTCTGTGTAGGGGGGAACCATATATGAAACACAAGAGCATTTTTGAGATTCTTAAACATTGAAAAGTAAATATGAATTACTTACTACTCTTAAGAAGTTGCTAGTTCTCTAGGATGTGTTTTTTGTGTGATAAGTGCATGGAGTTATGAAGAAAATAATTTATTTGGACAAACCTAACATAAAAAATATTTGTGCAGGACAAATTTAGCATTATCAGTAACTAGAGTTCTTTTGTCCATGACCTGAAATTTTTCATTTATTATTGAAAGTAATAGCTTGTGTTTCTTAATGGTATATGGGGCTCATTCCTGCAGAGAAAATGGGATTGCTTCTACTTTTTCAATGGGAGAACATTTTTTAATTTTAGCAGCTACTCTCTGTTGATGTTATTTGTGTTTATTTATTTTTTGTTTTGTTTTGTTTTTGTTTTTCTCTGATACTGGGAATCGAACTCACGACCTTGTGCTTGCCAGGCAGGTGCTGTGCCACTGAGCTAAATCCCCATCTCTTGTTTGTTTGTTTAGACAGGGTCTGATCCATGTAGTTCAGATTGGCCTTGAACAATCCTGCCTTGGCCTCCTAAGTGCTGGGGTTACAGGCATGCAGCCAAGTTATAGCCATGTTAACCAAGCCTGGTTAATAGCTACTTTGATGATAAATTAGTTTTTCATTTCTATATATTAAGAAATAGAGTCATTCATATTCTGTAAATGATAGCTGATCCACGTGAAGGCAGTGATGTTTGTGCTACAAATCAAGAAGCTTATGGCAGGGCTGGGGATTTAGCTCAGCGGCAAAAGCGCCTGCCTGGCAAGCGCAAGGTCGTGAGTTCGGTTCCTGGTACCGGAGAAAAACCAAAAAAAAAAAAAAAAAAAAGAAGCTTATGGCAATAGCTGTTTTCTATTTCACAGACAGTATGTAAGCCCAGAGATATTTTTGTTCCATTGGAAATAAATGTCATTAATAGTCATTTATCCTTCCCCAGGATTTTCTTCAGTTCATCTTTACAATTGAAATCTGAGAGTACATATACTTTATTTTTCTCCAGGGTGTACCTGTAGCATTAAGTGGTAGAGACATGATTGGTATTGCTAAAACAGGAAGTGGAAAAACTGCAGCTTTTATCTGGCCCATGTTGATTCATATAATGGATCAGAAGGAATTGGAGCCAGGTGATGGACCAATAGCAGTGATTGTGTGTCCTACGAGGGAGCTTTGCCAGCAGGTATGTGCTTCATGTAGAATACCTGTTTCTTCATGTGGACTATGACAGGATTTTTATTTTTAATTGTGATAAAGTACACACAAAAATAACCACCTTGACCCCCCTCTTTTTTTCTTTTGGTATAAAAATTAAACCCAGGGCTTTTATGTTGAGCTACTCTCCAGTCCTAATTTTTATTTTGAGACAGTCTTGGGTCTTGCTAAGTTGCCTAGGCTGGGCTTGAACTTGTGATCCTCCTACCTCAGCCTTTAATAGGAATGTGCCACCACACCTGGCTCAGTATTAAGCAATTTTAATTGTACAATTCAGTTGCATTAAGTATATTCTTATTGTCATGCTGAGAGGGAACTTTTGGAGGTATTTGTTATATTCTGTGCTACAGAAACAATTCTACTACTGTTCTAAGAAGAAAAAGGTATTATGGGAATTGTTTGTATTATATGCTCATAATTTCTCTAGGGTAAATTAACTTTTCTTTATAGAAAGGAAATGACAGGAAAAGGAAGAAAAGTGAAAAGAATGAATAATGAAGGCAAGATTTTTAGCTAGCCTTATTTTATAAATAAAACTGATTCTGAAGTCATAAAAATGAGTTTAATGCTAACTTTAGAAAGGTTTTGATTTTCTTTTTTTTTTTTTTTTTTTTTTCCTTTTTGCGCATGTTAGGCAAGCCATCTAGCTATATCTTCAGTCCTTTTTTAAATTTTGAGACAGGGTCTTGCTAAATTGCCTTGCTTGTCCTTAAACTTAGTTCTCTGTGCCCTGAGTAGATGGGATTATAGGTGTATGCTGTACACCTAGAATAGGTGTATGCTATACAGTAGATGGGATTACAGGTGTATGATTGCACACCTAGTTTTCTGTGTCATGTTCCATTTTTCGGAACTCCATTTTGGGTTGTGATAACAGGTATTTGTTAGTGTCACAGTTTGTTAATATGTTATTAACAACTTTATAGATCCATGCAGAATGTAAGCGGTTTGGGAAAGCATATAATCTTCGATCAGTGGCTGTGTACGGAGGAGGGAGCATGTGGGAGCAGGCCAAGGCCCTTCAGGAAGGGGCAGAGATTGTTGTGTGTACCCCAGTAAGTATATCATTTGTAAATGGCTTCTTAGCCTCCTTTGGTATGGAAAACATGGTTGGTTTTGAAGAGAATTTCCCCTAGAATGTGGTAAAGCAGAGTTGAGAATATGCTCATGAATGGCAGCCTCTGGTTTTGTTTTAATTTTTGATCTGCAAGTGAGCAAGAGTATCTGACATACGTATTAGAAGCTGTGAGTTCCCCTCTATTTCAAGTAGTTTTTCTTGTGCTCTCACAGGAAATGGATCCATGGCTACCAGGAACATCAAGAATGAGAATCTAGAAGATTGTTATCTAAACATTAAAACCCACCAGTAAGGTTTTAAATCAGGTCATTTCAGAATACCTTCCAGAAATAGTTCTGGCCACTTAGCACACACAGAATTTAAAACACTATTAATGTAAAGAAAGAATTGAGTTTTTCAAAGTTTCTGTTTCTTGGTCCTTGTAATATACAAAGTTCAAGGCCGTCTATTACTGTCCAAGACTGAAGAATTAGTACTTTTGCCAGGAGAGCAGCTTTGAAAGTACTTGTAAATGTCTTTGATTATACTTACGTTCATTTTGTGGGTCTCATAGGGTCGACTGATTGATCATGTGAAGAAGAAAGCTACTAATCTTCAAAGAGTCTCTTACCTTGTGTTTGATGAAGCAGATCGAATGTTTGACATGGGATTCGGTATGCCTTGGATACCAGTTTCTTTGTCCCTATCCTCATTAACACTACTTTTTCCATGTCTTTCTAGATACAAGCAGTGTTTTTCAGCATAAGAGAAACTAAAATATTCCTGGCTAGAAAGAGAACTAAGACATTATTTTTAGGAACTTTATCAAGAAAAGCACATTGGTCTTGATTGGGTTGAGGAAAATTGAAAGTGGCTTTGTATATAAGGAGAATATTTTTCTCTGTTCTTTCAATTTCATTTATGTCTGTGATGTGAAAGTCAAGGTCTTTATTCTTGTGGAGGTAAATGTGAAATCATCCAAAGTCCATTTGTTTTCCTGTCCTTGACTTTCTCAGCTTTGTAAACTTTTAAATAACCATCTTTACTAATTGGAGGGAGAGCTTTTGGGATTTTAATAATGAATGATATGTCTTAAGAGTTTTAAAGTTTCTTTGTTCTTACAGCTTACTAGTCTTTTACTTTAATGACTTTTTTCTAGGCTTTCCAAACTATATTACAGGGTTATAATGTTAATTTTCCTATTCTTCTAGAGTACCAGGTTCGATCCATAGCAAGTCATGTCCGTCCTGACAGACAGAGTATGTATGAAGCAGCTTTATTGTAAAACGATATTTGCAATCAAAACACTTATTTTAAAAACACTCCTAGAAGCAAAAATGATCATGTGTGTACTTAAGAACTATAAAGGGGAAGATAATGACCCTTTATGTGACAGGACCTTGGAGGTCATAGGACGTAATCACTTGCTTTACAGATGAAAAAATCAAGGCCCAAAAATAAAATACTTGTCCCAGTTTATGCGGTTTTATCAGTGGGTAGAAGCATTGCACAGTATACATTTGCTGATTTGAAGTAAAGTCTTTGCCTGAACCATGCTAACAATTTATTTTTTGACTGAAAAAGTGATGAAAATAAAATAAGGGAAAATCTTATCAAAAAAATTTTTTTGAACCAGGAATTAAACTTAGCACCTCACGCTTGCCAGGCAAGTGCTGTGCCACTGAGCTATAACCCTGGCTCCTTCTCAATTTTTAAATTAAAAATACCTTCAGTTTTTAAACTTCAAAAAAGTCATACTATTTCTTTAATATAATTTACTTTGTCTTTTAGCTCTTTTATTCAGTGCAACTTTTCGGAAAAAGATTGAAAAACTGGCCAGAGACATCCTGATTGACCCTATTCGAGTGGTGCAGGGAGATATTGGAGAGGTAACCCTAAGCAGGGGACCCAGTGGGTTATTTCTCTATTATAGAGACGGAGTTAATTCTTACTATTGAGATAAAAGAATAAGAATATGTTTACAGATGATGCAACATGTGTTAGATTTGTTTTAAAATACCCAAGTTCGGGGTAAGTGAAACAGGATTTGCAAAATGTTGATAATTGTTGAAAGTCAGTAATTGGTATATGGGAATTAATGTTTGTTTCACTTTTTAATGTTTAAAAACATTTCAAGTTTGGTTTTTTTTAAACTTAGAAAGAAATAAATAAGTCTTTCTAGAATACTAGTAGTGAGTTAGGGTGGAACTGACATTTTAAGTGAGTATGGGAAGAGGGCTACACGTGATGGAGTGGGATAACATGAAGGGCCTGGTGGGAACAAGTTAAGGTTTGATGTCTTGTCTGTACACACACCTTATTTAGAAAAATTCCCTCAATTTGGGATTTGAAATTCAGTTAAGACTACTTGGAAAATTCCTTAAGTTCCTTGCCATGTTTTTATTTTTGCATTTTTAGAGAATATTTTTTAATAACATATATGTACATGTAATTGTATATATCTATGGGGTGTAGCATGACATTTCAATACATGTATATCGTGTGTGATGGCCAGATCATGGTAATTGGCATATCCATCACCTTACTGTTCATGTCTTTATGTTGAAAATATTAAAGTCCTCTGTAGCTGTTTTTGAGATACATAGCTAGCTCCCTGCCTCAAGTACCCAGGGCATTGCCCTACGCTACACCTCTCAGCCCTTTTTTATTTATTTTGGGACAGAGTCTCACTCAGTTGTGCAGACTGGTTTCAAACCTGTAATCTTCCTGCATCAGCCTCTCAGAGTGCTGGTATTACAGGTGTGTGCCACCACATCTGGCTTATAACTAATTATTGTCAGCCTTATTTCTTCCTGTGTTAATTATTAAGAAAGTTTTTGTACAGTTACTTGGTTTTCTTGGTGAGTTTTTGGGGTTTTTGGGGGGTCTCACTATGTAGTGCAGACTAGCAATGAAGTTGCTTATGTAGCCCTGGCCATCCTCCAGCTCAGCCTCCCAAGTGCTGGGATTACAGGTGTGCACCACCACATCCGGCTTCAGTTAGTGTTTTGACATGGTCCAGTTTTCACTTTTGAGTGCCTTCTATTTGCATATATATATTTGTGTTAAAAATAGTTGACAGAGGGTCCTGAAAATGATTTTACTTCATTAGAAATAACCTGCACGAGCATTTTAAAAAGTATGGCATTTGTATGCATTGGGGCACTTAAATTTATACACAAATATATATACAGAGTCTGTCCAAAAAAATGTTACACACTTTAGGAAAAGAACAACTTGTATAACTATTTTAATAAGTTTACTGAGACATCATACAAATCCTAACATGCATGTGGACAAAGCAGTCAGTGTACCTGGGAGTCAATGTCCAGTGTGTATTTCAATATTATATAAGGTTTTTTATTTTGTATACGTCTTTTTGGCGGACTTCGTGTGTATACATACATACATACATTATGTGTGTGTGTGTGTGTGTGTGAGAGAGAGAGAGAGAGAGAGTAAAGTGATTTGAGAGAAGAGGTAGTTTTTGAACTGTACTTGACATGCTGAATAAAGGGCCAAAGAGAACAGGGACTATTCAAGGTTCTTTCAAATGCAGGTGGAAAAGACAATAACTAGTTCTTTAGGTGCTCCGTAGTACCAGTGTCAACAGTCACCTCTTTTATATCTTTCTTCCCAGGCAAATGAAGATGTGACACAGATTGTAGAGATTCTCCATTCTGGGCCCAGTAAATGGAATTGGCTTACCCGGCGTCTGGTGGAGTTTACCTCTTCAGGGAGTGTCCTCCTGTTTGTTACTAAGAAAGCCAATGCTGAAGAGCTAGCCAATAACCTTAAGCAGGAGGGTCATAATCTTGGGCTGCTCCATGGGGACATGGACCAGAGTGAGAGAAATAAGGTCATTTCAGACTTTAAGAAAAAGGACATCCCAGTTCTGGTGGCCACTGATGTTGCAGGTAGAGTATGAATTTCACAGTAGCTTTAGTCTCTGCTGTTAGGGTATTATCTTACTCTGCAATATGACCTATAATGTCTGAGCAGGCTGATTGAAATGCTGGCTTCTTGACCCTATTCTGTGGAGCAGCATTTTGGCACTGTGATCACAACCTGGAGCTCTGACTACCACTTTTCACTCAGTGTTTCTCTTTCTTTGATAAAAGTATCTCTGCAGCTAGAAGCGGAAGGTGGAGTTCAGCAGGGCACCCTTACTGTGTATCTGAATATGCACATTGTCTTTACCTTATGATCAGTTGATAAGTTGTTAGTTGGGCATACTTCACTCAAGACTGGAGAAGTTTCTGGAGTATGATTTTTGGCTTTATTCTGCAATGTTTTTTGTTTGTTTGTTTGTTTGTTTGTTTGTTTTTTAAGATATGTTTCACTACATAGTCCAGGATCACCTTCAGCTATGTAACCCAGGCCAGCCTGCAGCTCACAATCATCCTGCCCCAGCACAAGTACTGGGATTACAGATGTGTGCCACAATGCTTGGCTTGTTCTGCTGAGTTTTAATAGCTATCCTTATAAACTGATGTTTTCTTGCGGAAAGGATAACACTTAGACACATCTGAGGCTAGATACAGTGGCACATCTGTATAGTCCCGGCCAAGACAAGAGAATTGTACATTTGAGGCCAGTGATATATTTCATCCGAGTTTAATTTTTTAAAATATGTTCCAGGTGCAAGAGAGAGGGCCTGGCAGATTAATGATGGCAAAAGATGCATGTCCCTTACCGTAGGTGGCCTAGGCCCAGCGTCATAGAATCTATCATAGTTGCATTGGATAACTTAAGTGCAGCTCACCAAATCTTTGTACTCAGATAAGAGAGATGTGGGCTCTTACAGTGCAAGTATTTCTAGTTACTTTGATCTTTTGACTCTAGACAGAGAAAAAAAGAATTTGGTTGTTTTTATTTCAGCCCGTGGTCTGGACATTCCTTCAATTAAGACTGTCATTAACTATGATGTGGCACGAGACATCGATACCCATACGCATAGGATTGGCCGCACAGGAAGAGCTGGTGAGAAGGGTGTGGCCTATACCTTACTGACCCCCAAGGACAGCAATTTTGCTGGTGACCTGGTCCGGAACTTGGAAGGAGCCAACCAACATGTTTCCAAGGAACTCCTAGATCTTGCAATGCAGGTGAGGGGCTGGGCATGTTTTGGATTGCCTCAGATCATACAGCTATGAAATTTCAGCAAGTAGAGGGGATAACAAATCTGACAAGAAAGCAAGCAGAGGGGTTATGAGGTCAGGTTGGAATTGTGGGATAATAGTATTTATCCTCATCTGTCTGCCTGTCTTCTCCTTTCAGTAACATTTCTCTAAAAAAGCTACTCATTGTTTTGTGCTAAAATTTGTCCCTGTAATTTCTACCTGCCTGCTCCATAGCATAGCTAGGAGTAAATTTAATTTCAGGAGGTATCTTCTGTCCTTCTTCCCACTCTTCTCCATAAAAGTCTTTTCTTTTGTGATGCCAAACATGTGCAATGTCTTGAAGAAGGCTTCTTGAGTATTCATTACAGACTGAGATCTTAGACTTTTGACCACATACTGATTATCCTCTTCCCAGGGGTACCGCAGTCCACAACTGAGTTAAGGACTACAGTACAGAAGAGAGGAAAATAACGTTTTCCTCCCCTTTCCCTGGTAGAGAGAGCCAATGCTAAATTAAAATTTTAAAGAAGATATGTTTTGTCTTTGGCTTTTTTTCTACATCTCCTTTATTGCCTGAGGTTCTCTATACTCAGAACTTTTCCAAGTTATTATTTTAACAATAACTTGTGATCATCGCCTTAAACTCTCAAAGATGTTTGCTTTTTTTTTTTTTATTTTTTGCTTTTGAGACAGTCTCTCTGTATAGTTCAGGCTGGCCTTGAACTCACTCCAGGCTAACTGCAAACTCATGGTGATCCTCCTGCCTCAGCCTCCTAAGTGCTGGGATTACAGGCATGCATCACCATGTGTGGCTTCACCTAGTTTTGTTTTGTTTTGTTTTGTTTTGTTTTGTTTTGTTTTGTTTTTAATTCGAGACAGGTCTCACTGAGTTGCTAAGTTGCCCAAGCTGGGTTTGAACTTGTGATCCCTCTCTCTTGACCTACCATAGTGCTGGGATTACAAGCATGTACTGCCACACACAACTACCACTGGTTTTGAAGCTTACCTATTCATTGCCCTTCTAGGATGCAGGCCCTGGTATAAAGAGCAGTAAGGGAAGCCTTAGCTAAGCATGTACGCCTCCTGACAAATTTGGTGTGTTAAACTACCAAAAAGAAGCAAGTCTATAGTTCTATAGTTCCTGTGGATAATTCTTCCCTTGGTATAAATGCATTAGCTAAAAATGAAACAAAAAGTTCTTCCCAATTAATTTCCTCTTTGACCTTGTCCTTTTCCTTTGGTCTTTTCCTTTTCCTGGCTTAACCTTGAAATTATGTTCAATGCAGAATGCCTGGTTTCGGAAATCCCGCTTCAAAGGAGGGAAGGGCAAAAAACTGAACATTGGTGGAGGAGGCCTGGGCTATAGGGAGCGGCCTGGCCTAGGCTCTGAGAACACGGTGAGTATAGACTACAGCGTTTCTCTTGGGATCTGTATCCTGATCTATCCATGAAAGTACCAGAAAGTTCAACACCCTCTTCAGCACTGAGCATGTATTTAATCTGATTTGAGTCAGTGTAATGTTGGTTCACAATGAAACTGTTAGAGAAGCATCTGCGAATACTTGGCTGACTAGGGCTTATTCAGAAAATTGGTTTAGATCTGCCATGGTACTAAAGTTATCACCCTTGGATGTTCATAGCCATCCCCACCTCAAACTTGGTCAGTGAGAAACTTTGCAGTCCGTTGATAGAATTCTTCCACCTCTATGCTATAGCCTACTGCTGGGGAAAACTTGCTAGAGAGTCGTGGTACAAACTTTAGCTTATACCTTGTCAATAAACTCAGAAATGATTGCTACAGTCTGGAGAAATTGCATCGGAGACATGTGAGATGAAATTTTTCTTACAAACCAAATAACTGAAGTACCACCTGACTGGCTTCTTTACTGTCTTTTGTCTATCTATCTATCTGTCTTTCTGTGCACTGAGTATCTTGCTATGTTGCCCAGGCAATTTTCTAACTCATAGGCTGAAGTGATCCTCTTCCCCCAGCCTCCCAAGGACAGCTGGGGCTGTAGGTATATGCAGTCAGGCCAAGCTTGTGTTTTTCTGTGATTATTTTGTTTTGTTTTTGTACTGGAGATGGAACCCATGTGTACTCTACCACTAAGCTGTATCTCTAGCCCTTTTTATTTTTGTTTTTGAGAACAGAGTGTTGCGAAATTGCTGGGCTGGCCTTGAATTTACGGTCCTCCTGGCTCAGCTTCCTGAGTAGCTGGGATTATAGGTGTTCATCACCATGCCCAGCTACTTGTTCTGTCTTTGAGACATAGGATCTCCCTGGGTTGTCTAGGCTGGTCTCAAACTCAAGAGTTTAAGTGATCCTGCCAACTCAGGCTATCAAGTAACTGGGACTAGAGGTGTATACCTGCCTATTTTTTGACATGTTGATTCCTGAGCCATGGAAGAAAGTTGCCAGTTTTCTGCAGTGTTATAGTTAACTTTGCATCTTCAATAAATATTCTTCCCTCGCTACAGTAATGATGATGATAATGATGGAGATGATAGTGATAGCCAGTAATTATTGAACATTTCATATGTGGCAGGCCCATTCCAAGTATTTAAAGCAGTTCATCTTCAATTCAGTGTAAGTACAGATAATAAACTGAGGCACCTGTAGTTCCATACTGGTAAATGTCAAAGGAGAGACTGAGATCCTTAGTGGTCTTAATTCAGAGCCTAAGCAGTTACACAGTGTGCTATACTGGTGGCCTTTTCATCTTTAACATAATTTTTACTTAGTTGAATATTTGTATAAATAATACATGTTCAACTTTGGGCATAATCTGATGGCATTTCCAGGAATAGAATTGTCGGGTTAAGGGCATAGGCATGTTTAAATGCCTCTTATCACTGCACTGTTTCCCACAAAGGGCAACTTTCTAAAAATATCCAGATCCCATTGTAGCTCTTACTGCAGAGTTTTTAGTATAATGAGCTCCAGTCTTTGGTAGTTGCATTCCCACCTATTTTCCTGTCCTCATGGATGTATTTTATTTTTTAGGATCGAGGAAATAATAACAATGTGATGAGTAATTATGAGGCCTACAAGCCTTCCACGGGAGCCATGGGAGATCGTCTGACAGCAATGAAAGCAGCTTTCCAGGTCTGAAATAAGTATTTTGTTAAAAAGAAAAAAGCTTTCCAGTAGTAATTTGATCAAAGGAAAAGAAACTTCAGCTTGATAACTTTGCTTTTAGTGGCATAACTTTTACATGCAGTACTATATAAGCAAGGTATACTGCACAGAAAAGGACATTGAGGCTCTATAAGCAAGATACACAGAACTGTACAAAAAAAAAAGACTGGGTTGTAAGTCCAAACAGCACGCCTCAGTCTTAAAAAAAAATAGGTCATTACACGTGGAATATCTGTATAAACTGAACAATAGCTTACCTAGAGATAGAAGTACAGAGCTAGGGAAACCGCTGATGCTGGTCCTTTGTATCATCAGCCAGACCTGAGACTGCTGTACTATATAGGATCTGTTTCATTCCTAGCTCCACAACCCTTGGTGTTGCCCACCTACAAGGCATTATAGTTCACAATAATTGCCCTCTTTGGCTAAGACTAGTTTGGCTCTGTTGTATATTGTTTTGTTGTTGATTTTTGGCTCTGTTGAACTTGTTTTGTTGTTGATTTTGTTGTTGTTGTTGATTTTGTTGTTGTTGTTGATTTTTGGCTCTGTTGAACTTGTTTTGTTGTTGATTTTTTTTGTTTTGAAATGTTGAGTTGCCCATGCTTATCTCAAGCTAATGAAATGTAGTGATCCTCCCACCTCAACTTCCTGAGTAGATAGAAATACAGACATCATACCCAATTTTCTTATAAACTTTGAATCTCTCTTCCAACCTGCTCTTCCACTTAGCTAGTTACTGTCTGATTAACTGGGCCTTTATTTATACATTTTACCTGTACCTAGACTGACGTTTCCAGTTTGGTCCCACAATTTTTTTGTTTATTTTATGTTACTAGAAGAACTCAGAAATCCTGTATAGGAATTTATTTTTAAATAATGTCATCTACATTGCATATATTATCACATCAGTGCCAACAGTCACATCTTGTATAATCAGATTTACTTCTAAACCAAAATATAATTGTAGTCACACTAAAGTGACTAGATAAAAAATAAATAGCTTTATGTCTGTTCAGGTTAGGCTGTTTTTTGTTGTGCTCAGGATCAAACTCATGGCTTTCTGCATGCTGGGCAAGTACCCTACTACTGAGCTGTAATCCCAGCCCATTACAGCCAGACTCTTCAAAAAGTGTTTTCACAATTTTTTAGATTTTTGAATTGTAAATAACAGATTGTAGACTATAAATGTGTTGGACAGCTTTATATATAGATGCTTTATTTTAGTCTGCCAGGCAGTAACTTTTGGTACATTAAGGTCCGTCTCTGTAAAAGTCTTTATTTTGTTTTATAGCACAAGAACGAAAGGAGCATCAGAACGATTACACACAAGTCATGGTGCCAAAATAATAGACCTCGTTTCTATATTCTTTATAGGCTTGCCAAGCTTATATATATACTCAGGTTTCTTGAACTTACTATTGTACCTACTCCTGTTGTCTCTTTCTCTTTCAGTCCCAGTACAAGAGTCATTTTGTTGCAGCCAGTTTAAGTAATCAGAAGGCCGGAAGTTCTGCTGCTGGGCCAAGTGGATGGACTAGTGCAGGAAGCTTGAATTCTGTTCCAACTAATTCAGCACAGCAGGGCCATAACAGTCCTGACAGCCCTATCGCCAGTTCTGCCAAGAGCATCTCAGGCTTTGGCAGTGCTGGGAATATCAGCAGTGCTCCAGTGACATACCCTTCTGTTGGCACCCAGGGAGCCAACAACACAGCTTCAGGGAATAACAGCCGAGAAGGGATTGGGGGTGGCAATGGGAAAAGAGAGAGATATACTGAGAACCGGGGTGGCAGCCGTCACAGTCATGGAGAGAGTGGCATTCGGCATGGCGATAGCCCACGTCATGGAGATGCTGGTCGCCATGGAGATGGATACCGATACCCGGAAAGCAGCAGCGGCCGTCACACTGATGGCCATCGGCATGGGGAGAACAGGCATGGAGGAAGTGCGGGCCGGCATGGGGAGAGCCGGGGTACAAATGATGGTCGGAATGGAGAAAGCCGGAAAGAAGGTTGTAATCGTGAAAGCAAGATGGACCCCAAGGTGGACAGCAAGATGGACAAGATGGACAGTAAGACAGATAAGACAGCTGATGGTTTTGCTGTCCCAGAGCCACCTAAACGCAAGAAAAGTCGATGGGACAGTTAGAGGGAATGTGTTACAGTGTGAAATCAGTTCTTTAGTTTTACTTTAAGAGAGATTTTGGTAACTAGGTGTCTCAGGGCTGGGTTGGGGTCCAAGGTATAAGGACCCCCTGCCCTTAGTGGAGAGCTTGGAGCACAGACATTATGCCTTCATATGAATGATTGTTCAGATGCTTTCTGAGGAAGCTGCTTTGGTCCCAGCAAGCACTGACACCTGGGAAGCTTCTGTTGGCTCTGGGTGAGTTGTCATGAGGGTAAGTTGAAGACACTTGGGGGAAAAGGGCCTTATAGGGCACAAAACTCACTCTAGGTTTATAAGTAGCTTATATTTTTTACTAAAATGTCACCTTATAAACATCTATGAATCAGATTCTTTTTCTTAGCGCTCTGGCCAGGCAATCCCCTTTTATAGGAGTTGGCTTTTGCAAACCCAATTTATTGAGCTGTCGGGGATGTTTGGAAAGCTGTTTGGTGCTTCAAGACATTTGCAGGGAAGGAATCCCCAATTCTAAACAAGAGTTGACACTCAGGTTCTCCAGATTGTATCCAGCCCTGAGACATACAAGCAGCAACCTTCTAAACCCAGCTTTTGAGATTTTCAGAGTCTCTGTGATTGAAGGGAAATGACTCTGAAAGGGGTTCCAAGATTGCTTCAGGCCCAAGGTATTGGCTAAATTTCAAAATTAAAACCAACAACAGCTTTTAAAGTGTTTGTTTTGTTTTGTTTTGTTTTTGTAACTTGCCCCAATAGAAGTCTTTTGCTGAAATGATTTTGATGACTTTTGTTCTATCTTGTTTATAAAAGGAAAAGAAATACACAAACTTCAAATTTTGTGACTTTGTGAAGGTTTCTTTAAGATGTGCATTCCTCTGCTTGCTCTCTAGTAAATGTTTTACTACTGGGACCCACAGATTGTTTGTCATTTCTACCTTAAAATAGTTGGTACATACAATGATTTGGAACAGTATAGCACAGGTAATGTTTTATTCAACGAATAATGATGTAGGGTGAGGGGAGATGCAAGAGGCCCACATCCCTGTGAACAGGTTGTAAAACACCACACTGAACTTTCCCTCAAGATTTAAAGAAGATGTGACTGTTTCATCCAGCACTCCATGTTCTTCACAGAAGGGTAATGGACTGTCACAGCACCAACAAAACAGCTCCTTGGTGCCTTCGAGGGAGACCATCATACAAGCAGGAAAATGTCCTTCTTACCACTTAGGACCACCTCCTGGCATTTTGTTAGTTACGATACAAGCAAGAGCGAGACTGGTACCAAGGAGTCCAGGATTAGCTGTACCACTTTTCCGGCTTAGTTTTACAGTCTTCTCATTTCCGTTTGTGTTTTTTCTTCTGTTCCTTACGTTGCTGTGCTCTCTGATCCTTCTTCATTCTGGAGTCCACCACCTTGAAATGACCTCTGACTCCAGCTGGCCGCCGCACTTTGCGACCGACACCTTTTTTGGCTACAACATAGGTGACCTGGCGTTTTTCCTTGCCAAGCCCAGCCTTCTTGTAGAGACTGTAAAAAGAAAAGAAAGAAAGGTTAAGAGACCTACGCTCTGCTCTTTTCCACCCTTTTATGTCTTCCCCCAGTTACCTTCTCAACTGTGCCATCTTCTCTCGTTCTGAGATGTCAACTGTGTTCACCACAGCTTCTGCCTTCTTCTTGGTCTGTTCCAGTTTCTTCAGCATCTAGGAGGGGACTTCAGTCAGATGAATTCTTCACCTCTGCCACACCCACACCTAACCTCAGATAACCCCAACTTACCCTCCGTTTCTTTCTGGCCTTGGCCTCAGCCACTTTCTTGATGGGACGTGCATTGATTTCCCGCCAGCGTTTGCGGTAGTGCTCCACTTCCTTCTTGTCGAGAGGCAGCTGCCGTACCCGATGCTGCTTTTCTTCCTGCACAAACCAGTCTGGAAGCTCCCCCTCATCTTCATTAAATGCATACCTGGGCAGAGAGGACAGCAAGCCAGTAACATCATTCTGGACTTCTAAGAAGACAGTGACCCATTTAACCACGTCTTGACAGCTTCTTGTGATTTTCTGGTTCCCTTACCGGTTGAAAGAGTTATCTATGAGGTCTCGCTTGGCCTTTTTGGAGGAGGCAATAACAGCACCTAAAGCAAGGCCTTCAGGGTCCAGAATCCGATGTTTCACTAGGGAAAGGACAAATGTCAGATTCCAGTTCTCAAAACTGAAAACCCCATCCCTCTCATTCCACACAGATAGAGCTCTCACCTGGGTCCTCAATAGGTACCACTTCAAACCCGTCATCATCTGACTTAGGCCCACGGCTTCGCTTCTTCCCACGGGATGGTCCCCTACTATGGAAGCGGGCAAGACTATAAACAAATATTCCACCCTCTCTGTGCCACTCACACCACACTCCATCTCAACTGTGCTTCCTAACTAAAACTACTTAGGAACTTAGAGAAATCCCTGTCACTCAGGCCAGTTAAATCGATCACCAGCATTTTTAAAGCTCCCTATCTATAGCAAACCTTGGGAACCCCAGTTTGAAGAAATGATTCAAATCACTGCTTCCTCTTTACCATTCCCACTGCTGTGCCCACTCACCTCTCTTCCTCCTCACTGCTACTGCTGTCACTGTCTGAGTTGTCACTTCCTTCCCCTGCAGGGCCAGTGGTAGCTCCTTCCCCAGAGGGAGCCTCTTCCCCACTTGGGGCCTCATTCTGGTACTGGGGAAATTTTCTCTCAGTCTTCAAACTGGAAGGTGATGGTGGTTTGGGCGGTTCTTGCTCCTTCTGACGGCTCTTGTACAACAACTGGGCCTGACTGATCTCCAGGGCCTCATCAGCATCATCCTCAATCCAAGTGAAGCCATCCTGTTGTGGGAGAACCTTCAGCTATCCTCCTCCCAGGGAATGCCAGCTTCCCAATAGTCTTACCCCAGCTTCACCTTTGAGAACCACAGGTTGGCTTGTTCTTCTTGCAACACTGCCTTTTCCTCCAGTGGTACCAGCAGTGGATTCTCTTCTTCCTCTTCCTCCTCTTTATTATCTTCTAGTTGAGCAAATCGCACACTGCAGACACCAGGGAATGTAGGGAAAGGCTCAGTGACCAAATGCCCAGAGGCCGTGCTCCCCATACCCCTAGCAGTAAACACATTAACTGTGTCAGGAGTTGAACTAAAGGTAGGGGCATACCTCTTAGAAATCCCTTACCTCTTTTGGTCCTTCAATCTTTGATGTCCCCCAACTCCTGCCAACTCCTCTGGATCCAAGTCACTGTCCATAGATGAACCACTGTCGTCGTCCTCATCTGACACATAGATGTCATCCCTTGGTAGGTCAGACAGAAGCCTGTCAGCAGCACTCATGTCACCTTGTGTTACTTCCTCTAACAACTGGAGTTTAAGAAAAATAGAAATTTGAGTACTTAGTAAAAAATACTTGCTGTGTCCATCTCCCCCTCAGCAACACTAGTAACACATAGGCCAATAGCTATTTCCTTTTACAGATATGACCTAGGGAAGAGACTGGCCTATCTGAACATCCCATTCTAGACTAGAGAGCACTGTTCTGTCCTGCTCATTGGTTTAAAAATCACTCTTACGGCTCAGGATATAACTAGCTCAGTGGTAGAAAGCTTGCCTCACATTCAAGAAACCCTGGATCAAATAAATTCTCAGCACCAATACCACCAAAAGGAAAAAAAAATTCATTTTGAAAAGATACCATCACCTTAGAATTTTGATCCCACTAAGAAAAGGAACCCAGACAACATGTAACTGACATACCTGCTTCACTAGTAAAGTGGAGAACTGCTCAGTGGTAGCTGACAGTCTCACAGCCTAAGTGCTGCAGCTAGATCTGAAGGCTGAGCTTGTGTCTGTTCTGTGACTGCTATAGTGCCTCTCCTGGGTGCCAAACATGACCTGACTCTGACATTCCCACACGAGAGCTCCAACAGTTCATTTTGCTTGTGACACTGATTTCATCAGGCAAAGTAAATTCTTCAGTATTTGACAGAAGCACCACACACCAAATTCCAAGTGCTAACCTGGTCTCAGTGAACTGATGCCCTCCACTGAGGAACACCCTCTTTTCTCCTGATAATCCAGCTACCTTAGCTGCATTTACCAAAATCTCAGCTCTGGGTCCTGTTCTAGTGCTACAATAATCTGTATCATAGTCACTACAGGTGTGCTTATTTTTGTCTTTTGAGTCACAGGGCTCTATTTTTTCCCCATCTCCCTCTTACCAAGCCATCCTCCTGTTCTTTCAACCTGTATCCCCAACCCCACCTCACCTGGTGACCTCGGATGGTACGCAAGGAGAACATGCCTGTCTCCCCCTCATCTGCAATGGAAACTCCAGGCAGATCCATCTTCAACTCTATGCGTTCCCGCTGCTTCCTCTGCTCTCGAAGCAGCTTCTTCTTCTTCCTAAGGGGATGGGTTGGGAGAATTTGAAAACCTACCCTGCCCTCAAGATTCCCTTTCTGTGCCTTTTGTTCTTCTTTCCCATCTGCACACACAGAGGTACTATGCACTGGGGTTCCCCAAGCTCTTCCCCTGCTTCCCTAACCTCTTTAATTCTGCCACCTCCTGGGCCTTCATCTCTGCCAGGGTCTGGTTCAGCTGCTCCTCCTCTTCCTCCTCCTTAGAAGGCTGCCTTGTGTTCCCAGCAGTAGACTCCTCCTCCTCATCACCTTCTTCCTCTCCTGAGCTGAGGCTAACAAAACAGTCCAAGATGTTGTTTTCCAGATACTTCCTCCCAACACAAAGTTCCACCTACCCTCCTTAGTTCCCTCACCTGATATCCAGTGCTTTTGCTTGCTCTTTCAGCTTCTTAGCCATATAGCGCCGAAGTTTTGTTCTCCAGTTCAGCAGTGACCTGCCACAGAAATACTGATCTTAATCATCTCATCTTTTTTCCTTCTTCTGTTTTAAATCTGCCTTTTTTTTTTTTTTTGGTGTTTTGAGACAGGGTCTTCCTATGCAGCCTAGGCTGGCCTCGATGATCCTCCTGCCTCAGTCTCCCAAGTGTCAGGACTACAGGCATGCATTAGCTCACCCAGCTAATCTACACTTCAGATTTCAGGCTCTAGTCACAGAAATCCTAAGGGTCAGGCCCCACCCTAAAGCTCTAGCACAACAGCATACTTATCTCAGAGATCCAGCATCATGATCTTTGTTGAAAGGCTTTTCCCTCCTTCAGAGCTGTCCCCTTCACCCACTCCACTACATACCTAAGTTCCTTGCGCCCCAGAACTTTGATGTCCTGACAGCATGCCCGTATGTCCTCAGTGGTAGCTGGATGTTGTGCCAACTCCTCATCATCTATTGAGATCTATTGGACAGGAAAAGCAGTCAAGAGAGAATTTTAGGCTCAATTTCTAGAGCTCCTTTTTATCCCTCCCTCAGATCTGGGAACTCACTTCGCTGGCCTTGGAGAGGAAGTCAACAGGGTTGGCAGCACGTAGGAAGTCAGTGACTGAGGTACGGTGATAAAGAGTCAGGTCACCCTCAGCATAGCCTTCAGCCTTAGGGAGAGAAAAATGGTTGGGCAGTCCCTTCTGAGGTTTCTGAAGGACTCACCAGGCCCAACTTCCCCAAACGCACCTTTGGCTTCTTCTTAGTTACCAACTCAGTAACAGTCTTAGCCTGAACTTCAACCTCCTTGAAGGCAAACTTGGGATCAAAAAATTTACTATCAACCTTGTCAGGAGCCAAGAATCCTAAAGTGATGACATATTTTTAAAATACGGTTTGGTAATTAGAAGGCCCACCCAAGAGAGAGAAGTGATACCCACCCTGGCAGACAACGAAGATTTCTGCAGATTCATGGCGAGAGGCTTGGGGCTTGGTGGCCTGGACACGGCGGAACAGCTGCTGAAAAATCCACAGCAAGGGCTGATAGTCACGGGAA